ATAGGATCAAAAAATCAATACTCCTAACTAGAACTGATAACGTCATAGGTCAGGTTGTTATGGTGATAGTGATGACGTCATAGGATCAAAAAATCAATTCTCCTAACTAGAATCATCATTTACGTCATAAGTCAGATTGGGAGAGTTCGAAAAAATCAGCCCTGAGTGAGCGGATACCACTACTATCATTCCTTTTTTTTCAAACTCGTTTATTTTGTCTACTTTTTTTTCATCCATGATTACGATGAATGAAAAAAGGACAAAAAAAACTTCTTTCATACTATAAAATTTTTTTAATCCCATTAAAAAAAATTGGAATCAGAAAAAAAAAAATTCTCCTACAACTCATTCAACAAACAATCCAATTCATTCAACAAAAACCTTTTATACAAATCAACAGGAAAAAAACCTTCCTCTTCTTAAAAAAGACAAGACAGAAAATCTCACAAAAATAAACAGGGGAAAAAAACCGTGATTGTATCTCATCAAATCATTGAAAAAAAATCATCAAATGAATAAAAAAAACCTCAAATCAGATAAGACATTGCACAACCTTCCCGCCTGCAAGAACAGAAGCAACCACGTGCAAGAAAAAAGCTGAATCAACAACAAAACAATCTCATAAAAGGACTCATCAAAAACAATTTTCTTCAATAAAACAAAACTTCTTTTAATACAAAATAACATTTTCTTTACAATGAATTTTAAAATAATAAAACGAAATAAATAACAACGCCTCCATATGTAAAACAACGCTTTGAACAGCACTTTGACATCAACTTCATTCACTAAAAAAAACAAATTCGCACATTAAAAAAAATTTTTATTCACTAGAAAAAAAAAAACAAAAAAAATTTGCACAATAAAAACTTTTTTTGGTTATGTCATCTTATCATAAAAATAAAATTTTACCTTCTTATTTCTCTTTACTTTGAAAGAGCATGCAAGGTAATCACAACAAACTGATAGTGTGAAATACTCGGAAAAAATTCTGCGGTTGTCAGTCAGTAAAATAATAAGGAGTAAATGGCAAATGGCCGACGCGCGATTGCAAACCGCTTTTCTCCCATTAAACTAGTGCTCAGGCGCCCACGCGGTTTTTGTGACGTCACCAGAATGGAATGCAAAATACGCGATTCTGATTGGTTCATTTGTACCACGTGATCAAAATACTCGATTCTGATTGGTTGCACGCTATACCGCCACACTATTACTACTAAAGCCACCCGGGAAACCTGATGGGGGAAAAAGAAAGCCTAAGCAAATAAAGAAACGGTTCAACTGTAAAAATTGTGGACAAAATCATGAGCCCAAGAAATGTCCAGCATACAATCAGATTTGCCACAAATGTCAGAAAAGAAACCATTACGTATAAATGTGCCTTTCAAAGCCAAGGGACAGCTCTAAACTAGTAGATGAATGCAAGTTGGATGATTCAGAAAAGGGTGAATTCTTCATTAGGGTGTTAGGAACTAATTCATGTAAACAGAAAGATTGGATACAAAATGTGGTCATCAATTATCTCCAGCTGAACATGAAATTGGACACTGGTGCCCAATGTAATGCTTTTCCAGTTCCTTAAGAAGTCTTTGGCCGAAAGAAGAGATTTTATAAAGATGAATGCACTCTGCTTGGGCTTTCTGAAGTGGGGGCACATGAAAAGAGTTTGTAGAAGAAGATTAGTTTGCAAAACTTGCAATGGCTTCCACCCAACTTCCCTTTACAGCGATCCTGTTCCCATTGAGACCAAGTGGAATAGTCATCCAAGAAATACCCCAGAGGCAACCTCACACCATGTTAACCTTTGCAATATGAAGAATGTAAAGCTATCCTGCATGCATTCCCTCATAGTTCCCGTATGGATACATCATAGAAAGAATATCAGCAAGTAGTTGCTTATCTGTACCCTTTTGGACGAGCAGTCTGATGCTTGTTTTGTGAAGGAAAATCTTCTTATAGGATCAGGTGTGAACGGACCCAAAGTCAAACTGAAGCTATCAACAGTCCTTTCAGAGAAGGTTATCAAAAGCCAGAGGATCAAAGGCCTAGTTGTACATGGCTATAACAAAGATGTAGAAATTCGTCTGCCCAAAAGCTACTCAAGATCCTCTATACCAGCCAGGAAGAGTCATCCCAAGACCTGATTCTGCTCTGATCTGGCCTCATCTTCAGAAGATTTCAGAGAAGATCATGCCCTTAAACAAAGACGTGGGAGTTGGACTTCTGATTGACCTCAACTGCTCTTGAGCAATTACGGCACTAGAGGTATGCCAGGAAAGGGAGATGATCCACATGCTAAGAGAACAGCCCTTGGATGGGGAATCATTGGTGCTATAAGATCATTGAGGGAATAGGATTCTGAAATTGAGATTGACATTGCATGACACCGCATCATTACCTGTGAGGTTCAAGCAACACCAAACAAAGAGATGTGCCACTTTCCATTCAAAATACAAGTTAAAGAAATGATCAGCCCTAGCGATGTGACCAAGATGTTTACTCTCAACTTCAACAAACGTCAAGCTGACAACAAACCCTGTCCGTTGAAGACAGAGCTTTCTGAGAAAAGTGCATGAAGGAATCCATCAATTGTCATACGACCATTGTCATGCCACTGCCTTTGTAAAATGAAAATTTGGAGCTGCCAAATAACAAGGAGCTAGCCCTAAGTTGCCTTAAAAGTTAAGATAAAGGTTGTGAAGTAACGACCAGTTCAGAAAGGACTACTGCAGCTTCATGAAGGACATCATATCTAATGGTTATGCAGAGAGTTCCCATTGATGAAATATTGACAACTACCAAACAACTGGTACATTCCACATCATGGAGGTTATCATAAGAAGATACTGGGAAAGAAAAGAGTTGTGTTTGACTGCAGTGCACTATGCCATTGTCAATCTCTAAATCAAGAACTATTCCAGGGCCCAGTCTGTTGACCTATTGTCTATTGGCCCAGAGCTATTGAATGTGCCCTGGGTGTTCGTTGGTGCATAGAATTTGAGACACTCCAGTTCAGGATCACCTTACCAGATAGACCTCTATCAAGAAGGGGAATCCTGTAAACTGTCAGTTCAGTATTTGACTCCCTTGGCTTTATTGCTCCATTCATTTTGGTAGGGAAGCAGATCCCGCAAGAGCTGTGCTGTGATAGTGTAGGCTGGGATAATGCAGTTCCTGATGACTTGCGACCCAAATGGGAAAAGTGGAGAGCAGAACTTCCCATTTTAGAAAGACTCAGAGTACCAAGATGTTACAAGCCTCAAGAGTTTGATGAAGTTAAGAACGTAGAGCTGCACCATTTCCCTCACGCCTCTCAGAATGGCAATGGGCAGTGTTCCTACATGTCATTGGTTGATGACATGAACCGCATCCATTGCTCTATGGTGATGGGAAAGTCATGGGTAATGCCCCTTAAGCCAGTGACCACACCCAGACTAAAACAGACTGCTGCCGTCGTCTCATCAAAGATCAACAGTAAGATGGTGTTGGGCTACATCGATGACACCAGAAGATTCCAGGTCTTCATTGGCAATTGTGTCTAAAGAGACCTGACCTGGCTGCTAGGGCCTAGGAACTATCATGACCGCTGACCGGCTCAAGGGAGTCAGCAATTTCATGTTTACATTCTTGTTACAATCAAGGAAATATGTATTTCTCTATCTACGTTGGATCGGAACTCTACTTACCGCTTTATTATTGTAAGTTAGCCATCTTACATTGCATATCATCTCCAGGTATATGCATCGTTTTTATTGTGAGCTTATAAGATCCTTCTGCTTTGCTCAACAATCACGGACTAGCTCACCAAATTCTCACATCTCCCACACCTCCTGCACCACCCCAGGCCCAGGCATCACGAGGCCCGAAACTCGAACAGCCAACAATTGATGTTGGCATTTCCATAGAGGAGTAGAACATCTTTGTTTGCAGGTGGGAAGTATTCCAATCAGGATCTGACATGGACGGCCCATCTACCCTGTCCCAATTGTTCCAATGTGCAGGACCTACACTCTGCGACAGCCTACTAAAGGCCAACCCACATGTCACCTTGCAGCCACTCGAAGACCTTCTCCTTGCCATGCGTTCACCAGCGGTGAGCCCAGTAGCCACCTGTGTCTTATGCACTGAACTTCTTCAGATGCACCAAGAATGGGATGAAGCATTCTGCACCTTTTCCACACAAGTATGTGGCAAAGCAGAAACATGCTCCTACGGCACTACATGTGGGTGTGGCGAGGTTGTTGACTACACTGATCACATCATCCGCAATGTTTTAGTTAATGGCCTCTACGACCCCGACATCCACAAGGAGGTACTGGGAACATTAGACATCTTGAGCAAACCAGTGAATGACGTCATCGCTCTTGTAGAACAGAAGGAAATAGTGCAAAACGCCCTACCCACGTCAAACCTTTCAGCACTGTCAGCCTTCCAATGCCACAAGACCCAGGCCAGTCCTACCCTTATCCCATCCCAAGTGGATCAGAATAGAGAAGCCACATGCCCTGAATGTATGGGCTCCTTCAAGGTCCTCACATAATGAACATGCGGCTGGAATAAGAAACTGCACCAGATATGCATAAATTGCTATGGGGTGCGATGATGCAAGATACGCCCACAACTTGCCACTGTTCAGGCCATCAAGTCAGAGCCTATTTCTCAAGTGACAGCGATACACCATTCGCCATAGAAACAATGAAAGTGCAAGCTGCACGATGAACAGAACCATGCCTAACAGACTGGACCATCACATCTTCACTAAAGGTGAATGGTGGCAGGCCCAACTCAAAGACCACCCAACAGTGCCCATAACCATTTCTGTTGACAAACCAGCCACTATCACAGAGAAAGCCCATAGCACCCAAGTGACCACTACAGCCATTGCAGACACAGGAACACAATCCAATCTGTGGTCTTTAGAGGAATACCTCTCATGTGGATTCTCACGTGATGACCTGCACCCTGTTTGCCTCAGTCTAACAGCAGCCAACCGTACTCCCATTAGAATAGAAGGTGCATTCTTTGCCAAGCTGGTTGCAACATTACCGAGTGGCAAAACCACATCCAGCCATTCAATGGTGTACATCAGCAGCTCCATCAGAGCTATGTACCTGTCATATAAGTCGCTGCTTAACCTCGGCCTACTATCAAAGAAGTTCCCCTCACCTGAAGGCACACAGAACAATAGTGCGACGAACCGCCTAAATGCGACACCCGCACCCCTGTCAACCAACGCCAATCGGTTCATCAACAATGGCTGTGAAGGACCACAAACTTCCAGTCATGCCGCGTGCTCATGTCCCCAGCGAACGGCCCCATCATTACGTCCCGCTGAGCTGCCATTTCCTTGCATCCCAGAAAACAACAAACAGATGAAAACCTGGCTCCTCGAGAGATGCGCATCATCAGCCTTCAATACCTGCCCTCACCAGGCATTGCCATGCATGGATGGCCCACCTATCGAAAAACAAGCGGACCCCACTGCCACAGCAAAGGCATTGCATACTCCAGCAACCAAAAAAGAAAGTGTATGAGGACCTCCTCTGTGATGAAGCGCTTGGAGTAGTTGAATGCATTCCATATGGAGAACCAGTGACATGGTGCCACCGTGTGGTGGTCACCAGGAAACACAACAGCTCTCCCCGTTGGACAGTGGACCTCTCCTCTCTCAATAAGTTCTACCAACCTGAAATGTTTGCCATGGAATTGGCTTTTCACCTAGCCCATCGAGTACCAAAGGACACTTGGAAGACAGTGACTGACACCTGGAATGGCTATCACAGTGTCCCGCTGCGCACATCTGATCGTCATCTGACAACATTCATCACACCTTTTGGTTGCTGGTGCTATAATAGCACTGATGGCTACAATCGGCAATTCGATTGCGTAGAAGACACCATTCACTACGACGCAGATTTAAAACAGCATTCGTGGAGGACCATCGACTTTCTCACTTGGGTAGGACAGTCTGGCATTGTATTAAACCCAGATAAGTTCCAGTTTGCCCAAAAGAATGTCAACTTCGCAGGCTTCAGGGTATTGGACACGACAATCAAACCCCTCCCAAAGTGCTTTGATGCCATCAGGGACTTCCCCACCCCAGCATCCAAAACAGACGTCAGAAGCTAGTTGGCCTTGTCAACCAAGTGACAAACTACACACAACTGCATGATACTATGGCACCTTTCAAGCCGTTCTTGAGCCCACGCCACAAGTTCGCATGGTCCCCTGAGTTGGAAGCGGCCTTCCAAACATCCAAAAAGAGCATCATCGAAGCTATTCGTGAGGGTGTGGAGATCTTCAACTTGAAAAGATGTACTTGCCTCTCCCCCAATTGGTCCAGCCAAGGCATACGGTACTTGCTGCTTCAACAACATTGCGCTGCCCCTCTAGAGTACCCAATTGCTGCCAGGGTGGATGGAAGATTACCCTTGCGGGCTCACCGTTCCTCTCCTCTGAAGAGCAGCAGCTATCGAAGGAGAAGCCCTTGCAGTGGCATGGGCTCTTGAGCAAACACAATATTTCACCCAAGGATGTGACAATCTCATCGTCGTTACTGACCACAAACTGCTGGTGAAAATCTTCGGCGATCGGACTCTTCATGAGATTTCAAATTCAGGTTTCTTCAGACTAAAGCAGAGGACCCTACCATGGCACTTCGACATCGTACACCACCACAGACAATACAATCAAGCCACTGATGCCACCTCCAGACACCCTTCTCCATCAGGCTCTGTAAAAGATTTCACACTTGGGACTCCAAGCAACGCCGACATGGCCAAGTTAGCACTGATGGCTACCATTTGCAGCCATGCTGAAGAAGCCACTGTTATCCACCGGTCCCTGATTGCTGATGCGACTGCCAGAGATAAATCTTTATCGGTAACATAGACAGCAGTGACCCAGCCCTTGCAGGGCTATGTCTGTACATCAATCTATTCACAAGATGGTGTACTGATGTACAACCACCGTGTTGTGGTACCAGAATCCCTCTGCCACAATGTCCTACAGCATCTTCACTCAGCCCACCAGGGAGTCTCTACAATGGAACAACGCACAAGGGCTATTGTCTACTGGCCTGGTATGTCGAAGGACATTCAAGAGACAAGAAACAGATATGCCGAATGCAACTGCAACACGCCATCACAAGCAGCCACACCACCAAAACCTTCCACACCCCCATTCACTCCATTTGACGAAATCTTTGCCGACTTCTTTGATTACGGTGGCCACCACTACCTAATTGTGGGAGATCACCTCTCAGGATGGGTAGAAGTGCTAAGCTCTACCTCACGAACTAACCTAGGAGGATCTCCTGGCCTAGTCCGTCACTTACGCAAGTTTTTCACCACCTTCAGTGTACTAGAAGAACTCTGGAGCGACGGTGGCCCATAATTCACAGTATCAATCCCAGAGAACTTCCTCCGGTCTTGGAATGTGCAACATTGTGTGTCATCTGCAGCCTCACCCTTATCCAATGGTAGAGCCAAAGTAGCTGTTAAAGCTGCTAAGAGGCTCTTGATGTCTAATACTGGCCCAACAGGAAGCCTAGACCAGGACCGCTTCCTCCAAGCAATCCTGCAGCTTCGTAACACCCCCAACCGTGACTGCAACCTCTTGCCTGCTGAAATCATCTCTGGACACCCCCAACAGGTCTCACTCTCATTTGTTAACCGCTTACAGAAATTCTCAAACCCACATGTCCGACCACTTTGGTGCAACACATGGACAACAAAAGAAGAAGCTCTACAGACCAGGATCTCCTGAACCACCGAGAGTTTATGACCCCACTCACGTCTGCTTCGACCATTGGCCACTAGTGACCGGGTATTCCTGCAGAACCAACGGGACCTCCACTCCAACAAGTGGGATAGGTCAGGACTGCTTGTAGAGTAAACGGGCAACAACCAGTACAGGGTGAAAGTAGACGGATCACAACGACTGACACTATGAAACCGCCGCTTCTTGCAAGTGTACACACTGATCGCCAACGAACTACAGCCTGCCATGACATCACCACCTCCCTACAGCGCTGGGACCTGGAATCAGCCAGGCAGCACCAGCACCCTGCGAAGACAGCACATGCAACATCTCTCCCCTGCTGCCTACAACCATAGAGCTACACCCCACACAGATATCCATGCTTGACCCACCACTTGACAGGGCAGATTCTGGAGCAACAATGCAAGAACCACAGCCCCTCTCTTTCTCGCCTCAACACGGCCGCCCGCACCGTGAACAGCGACCACCAAAACTCTATGAACCCAAGACAGGCCAATGGATAGAACGCTGAGTCCAGCAACCCCCATCAGGTTCCTGGACTAGGGGGGATGAAGAGACTTGACCTGGCTGCCAGGGCCTAGGAAATATCATAACCGCTGACCGGCTCAAGGGAGTCAGCCATTTTGTGTTAACTTCCTGTTACATTCGAGGAAATATGTATTTCTCTATTTATGTTGGATCGGAACTCTACTTCCCACTTTATTATTGTAGGTTAGCAATCTTACGTTGCATATAAAGAATGTATTTTAGTATAGTCCAGTTGTTATTTGTATTGTAGGACTCCTACATTGTTGTATAATTAAAACCGTGTCAAGCAACAAGGAGTGTATTTCTTCAGTGTCTAGGAAATACAAGAGCAAACATTCTCTAATCAGTGGCACTATGTTGGAACAAAATCTAATCCTGCAGATATCACCTACTGTGGTGCTGGGGCCCAAAAGCTAACCAACAACCCTTTCTGGTGGAATGGGCCAGGTTTTCTCTGGAACTCACTTAAGGACTAGGATTCTGTAGACAACATCCCCTCAATCCCTCCTAGGGATCTGGAAGTCAAGAACGTTTCTGTGAGAGCAATCCAGATCCAAGAACCAAAGCTATACTCTCTATTGGAGTGCCTGACCTAGTTCTCCAACTGGCATCAAGTAAAGAGAGCAATTGCAGTCTGTCTCCAATTTCGACAAAGGTTCCAAAAGACAGCTGCTAATGAACCACAAGTTAGAGGACAGAACATATAGGAGAGAAATGAAGGGATGGCTATATGCAAGCCAGTTGATTTCCAGGAACTAGAACATGCTGAGCTGCAAATGATCAGGATAGTACAGAATGAAGCCTTCCTAAATGAAATTCAAATGCTGAACGATACTAAAACCAGATTACAAGCCACCAACAAAGATCCTACCAACGAAAGGACGAAGACAACAATGGATAAAAATGATAGATTTCTGTGATAGACATTGTATTTGCACATTGTGTTTGCTGAATGTAGATTTATTTTTTTCAGCTTCTGTAAATTGGTACCGTGCTAGCTGAAAGCTGGAATCTGGCCGTGTTGACCAGTGTTGAAGCAGAACCAGATTCATTCCTAGCTGGATTAGTACAACTGGGAGTGAGCTTGCTCGTTGCCTTTGAAAATGCCAAGGAAGGGTAGGAAGAGAGCAAGAAGCTCCAAGACAATAGCAAAGAAAAAGCTTCCAATCGGGGAACTTGCCCGTAGGCGGAAAATGCTCAAAGAGGAATTTATTTCAAACTGTGGGAACTGCAAATATGAACAACAAAAGTTGTGATCCAAAATGTGCCTCAGCTTTACTGAGTTCAGTATCTTATGTGATTTTTCTCAAGTTGCAAATTGTTTAAATTTTAGCACAGTCTCATACATTGATGTATGAATTTTCTGACTCAAGTTCTTTTCAGGATTTTGCTATTCTATTTATCTTAGGTTAGAAAATCTGGGACTGTGGATTAATTTAACTATCCGGCAAATCTTTCATAGGTTGAAAGAATCCAGAATGATGTGGAGTTAGTGAAAAAAAGAGTAATTGAGACTGACATTGTAAGAAAAAGAAAACTTCTGAAAAGACAAAGGTTTCCAACGTCTATATCAGAAGCCAGTTCCGAAGAATATGAAGTTCCTGTTGCAAAAAGAACTTGCCAAAGATGTACAAGGGAGACTATCAATGCCTGTTATGAAATCCATGGTGGTACAGGGGAGAATAGAAGTCCAATACTGGATGCTTTGTGGTTGAATTTAGTTATGGAAGCCACACCGTTTCAGTTGGGAAAGTACTTTTCCTTATCTAAGAAAGTAATGAAGAAAGTTTTACCTCGCGTAGTGAAGGAAAGTATTCCAACTTTTGAGAATAGCTTTGACAATAAAATTAGAAGCCTAAGAGTATTCTATAGCAAGGGGTTGTTGAGTGAGGAGAAATATAAAAGTATTAGGCTCAATCTTTCCATGAATACTCGCAAAAGTGGCAAGAAACTGGAAAGCTTTAAGTTCATGTCAAGTGTTTGCTTGCCGAAGATCTTGCCCCATTAGAAATTGATAACTTTTGTCAAAAGCATTGATGTTGGAAATGTTAATGATTTCAAACATTTTTGCTATGATTTAGATGCAGATGAAGTTGTGGAAGGGTCATATAGAGAGCTACAACCATTTCTGTTGCAGCTTGCTGATATGTATATTTGCTTAGATAAGACTAGTCCATCCCTGAGTCATTTTGGATCCGAACCGTATCACTTAAGAGTAACTCTAGGTGCTGATGGGGCCCCCTTGGGCAAAGATGACGTGGCCACTTCTTGGCTTGTATCATTCCTCAATGTAGGTTAGCAAATTGCAAGTGAAACTGGCAACTTTATTCTTGCAGGAGCAAATTGTAGTGAATCTCACCTCCCAATGCAGTGCTATGCACGAAAGCTTGTTTCTGATATGGGTGACATAGGCTGTCATAGATTGTAAGACTTTTTACATTGAAAAGAAATTGGGGCTAGTAGATTGTACAAGAAGGTTAAAAAGTGGTGCTCCCAGGGACAGAAGGGATCCCTCTCCTATCGATTCACAGGGAAAGAGACGAAAAAGATCTGCCACAATTTTATGTCTATCCTAAAGGCAATTTTGCGTGAGGACGACAGTCCTCAGCAACAGCTCCAAATTTGCAAATTTGCATTCATTGGCCTTCAGCTAAGAGATGCTATCAGCCGGTTTAGTTGTGTCACAATAACTGAGGGTGTCTTGCAGGAAATCAAAGGCTTGCAAGTGGTATGTCAATGCCTGCTCTCTTCTGTTAGACTCCGTAACACCGACAGTTTGGACGATCGGTCATGCCATCCCTTATCACACAGACCTCCTGTATAGGAAACTTGGCTTAGGGTTAGGAATTAATACTATGCAGGGAGGGAGGCTAAACAATTTCTGTGAATTTGACAAGCTTTAGGAAAAGTCTCAAAAACAAATACATGTTCTATATAAGGGGAAAGGGTCAAAAACCATTGATGTCACATATCCCTGTTGGATATTTGAGGAAAGTCCCTCTCCCCCTAACTCCTAGTAACAATATTCTATCTGATTCATTCATCTTGAAATTTTACATAATGAAACTTATCAAACAGCTGATTATGCTTATTTGCTGTACTTACCATGGTTTCAAAAAGAGTTATTTGAATAAAATAATTTTAAATGTGTATTCATGTGCTGTATTTTACATGGTCTTTAAGAGTTATTTGAATAAAACAATTTCAACTATGTGTTCCTGAACTGTACTTTTCATGGTTTGAGTTAATTAATTAGTTAATTAAACTGAACAAAATGATTGATGACAAGGATTGAATACAGCCAACAGTTTCTTGCATTTAGCTGACATAATTATGGAAATTATGTCAATTATTTCTAGCACTGTTTTTTGCTGATCTCAGCAAACGGTACTGTTATTCTTTATGCCAGGGAGTGCTGAGGAACTCCCAGTCTATTGTAATGTCCATACCTGAGGCTGATTTTCATAATTTCAGAGTTTTTTCAATATGTAAACTTAGCTGGATAGTCACCAGTGACAATCACCTGGCTGAAGGAACCATCTTTTTCCTTTTTGAGGAGGACATCACTCTCATGGATTGTTCCTTTTCCATATTTATTTGCCAGTGAGAGAAAGAGACCCTTCATCTTTCCCATATCCATGATGTGTATCTCATGGACAGCACGTGTGTTCCTGACAACCACACCACAGCAACAGGAGCTAAAGCGACAACCTTGAAACAATCACACACCTCCAATGGTATATTCCATGAGAAATTGACAGTCCATGGCCGGGAAGCACGCGTTTTTTGCTTCATTTTTCTCAGCATTCTGATGTGCCAAAAAGCAACAATCCTTGCCAACATTCTTGCGGGCTGAGCTAAATGAAATTTGAAAGCCCTTTCACTGTTGAACATGTGTTTCTTGATAACTGCTCTACCCAACACTAAAAGCTCGCCCGCAATTTCTGTTGCTAAAGCTTTGTCTTCACTAGAATTCTTGTAATCATTCACAGCTTCGTGGAGTTTTACTAAAAGGGCTGCCATATTGAAAGCACCATTTGTATAGAGATCGCTGACTGGTTTCTTACGGGCTCACTGTTATCGAAATGGCATGGTTTGGCAAGCTGCCAGCCCAGCGTGGTAGCTTTGTTGCGCTTAAGATATTTGTGTTGTTTTGATTTATCTATATTAATGCCCCACGTGTTCGAGTTTAGGACATTTTAATTAGCATTTATTGTATGATGATAGCCTATTTTAATTTATTGTATTTCAGTTTTTACAAGCTTTCCAGTGATTAATTAACCCATTGAGATTGATAGACACTTGGAGGTTCTGTTAATATAAGACATTTCCCCAATACGGCATTGTTCAAGTATGATTTTATTTATGTCAGCGTCCACCCCATCACAATCATCCTTCAACAAAGTGCTTCAAATGTATTTTTGATCACCTCTTGCCCAAAGCCCAACATATGCAGTACTGGAGAGGACCAAAACAGACAACAAGAGAAGCACCTCAAGACCATAGTGACCCTGGCATAGGCTTGCCAAAATGTCGCCCAGGACCGGGAAGAAAGCTAGACTTAGAACAAGAATTCCTTTCGACAATCATGAAGTTGAAATTGGATCTCATTAACGAAGATCTTGCATTCAGATTTATGGTTTCTTCAACTACTGTCAGCAGTGTATTTATTACATGGATTAAATTGATGTCCAAAGAGCTGTCAGTCTTAATCATCTGGCCAAGCAAACAACAAGTAAAAAACACTTTGCCAGCTTGTTTCAAGAAATTATACCCAAAAGTGAGATGCATAATAGATTGTTTCAAATGTTTTACCGAAACCCCTTGTGGTTTGAACCTTGCTGCTGCTTTTTGGAGTGAGTACAAGCACCATCACACATGTAAAGTACTAGTAGCCATCTCTCCAACAGGGGCAATTTCCTATGTTTCTTAAAGCTATGGGGGGGGAGGGCATCAGATGCCTTTATTGTCAGAGACTGTGGTTTTCTGAACATCATTGAACCATATGATGAAGTAATGGCCGACAGGGGATTTAAAATAAAAGAAGACCTAATGATGTCTATGGCTAAATTTTGTATCCCACCTACCTGCACTGCCTCTATGCAGATGTTACCCTCAGATGTCAGAAAGACATCAAATATTGCAAATGTTAGAATATATGTTGAACAAGCTATTGGAAGAGTAAAAAGGTTTCATATTTTGAAAAATGAAC